TTTTCAATAGGTTTTAAGAAACCAGTTCCATGAAAAGAAAAGCATCCCCAGAACATTATACTGAACGGATGCTTGACAGTACTTACTGCTAAATTCAAAGAGCTTTCAAAGCTTCTTCTTCGGATTTTAGATCGCTTATCCTTTGAATTTAGCTCAACTTTCGTTTCATCGGAGAAGAGAACATTTAGTAAAAAAAAAAAAAAATCAGGTGAGTCACTTTTATCGAACAGCACTGTATATATGTGATTGATATCACTGAGTTTAAATTATTGATTATTTTTCCATTTCAGTATGAATATATTAATTATTCATCAATAAACTTTCAAAAACTGTTGAAGAGAAAGATATTTGCATGACTGAAAGTTGGGAAGTAAATCGATTTAAAGTCTTAAACTGATAAAAGGATAAAATGAGAATTTTGTTGGATTAATTATTTTCTAACATCTTTCTGGTTCCTGAGAAATTAGAAAGGTTGGTCTTCAGCCAAAAGATGGTTCCTTAGAAGTTAGAAATATCAATAACCAATGGGATGAAAAAATTTTCTTTAATAAAAGATTTTTAATTAAATGATGATGATTTGCAGTTTATGAGGATATGTAAGAAAGATAAATAAACTCTAGATATGAATTGTTATAGATGATATATATATATATATATATATATATATATATATATATATATATAATAAATATATTTTTATTCGAGGATTTTGTACCAAATGGAAAATCTTTTTCGTTTAATGGAAACCCAAGGGAATGTGGATAATTTATCCCAGTGTATATGGCACAGCAAAAATCTTAGTTACAGTTTCTTAAAAGAATTTATGTTATCTGTTGATCAACAAGAACATTTGCTCAAGGGAAATTATTGATAGAGTAAAAGAGGTTTGTGATGTTTCGTATTGGGATAGGGGTTTAGAGTGAAAAAAATAATTCATCACTGGTATGGTTTTCAGACACTTCTAAAGTTTATCAAGACTGGAATTAAAGATTCAGTTCTGTTGGTTTGAAAAGACAAAAATTTCTGACAAATCATTTTCTTGCATGAGGTCACATATTTATATCCATAAATTTCTAATATATATATATATATATAAATTATATTTATCAAACTATTTTATATATATATATAAATATAACCAACATCTATGTTTTTGAAATTTTTTTAGTTTTGGTTTGGTTAATTTTACACCAGTTTAAAATTAAAAAAAAAAAATTTAATTTCAAAAAGGAACATTCTTGAATCCTTAGACAATACTTTTAGTTTATGACATACATGCTTGTGTGGACATCAAAACTAGAGGCAGTGATGTACTTTTATGCTGAGCTTTATTTGAAGTTATATTTTAGAATACACAATGATTAAAAGCAATTGTAGGATATTATACTATCCACTTAATGTCATTGAAAATAATATTTTTTATGTTGTTTCCTTATGTTTTAGTATTTTAAACAGATTTGTCTAAAAATTTTAAATAAATTTATTTATTTGCATATTGTTGAATATGATTATGATAAATATGGAATATTTTTACTATAAAAAAAAGTATTTTAATTTGTTAATAATATTATTTTTTTTTTTTTTTTTTTTTTTGCTTATTTTTTTTTTTATATATATATATATATTTATTCCCATAGTTGGGAATAATTGGTGCGGAATCTCCACATTCTTCAGTTTTGTCTCCTTCAAAACAAAATTAAATTAAAGAGGTTGTTCCACTTTCTTAAAAAAACCTCCAAACTCCTGATCAGATTCTTTTTGTTATTGGATTTGAAAGTTTGAGATGACATATTGTGATTATTCTTTGAATTATTTAAACAAAATTATCTTCATTACATTATTTGGACTATTGCCCTCATCTTTGTCACCATATTAATTACAACATAGGGTCGTTGTATGTATTTGCCTTTTGGATGGTGGTTGGAAAAAAAACTTAACCCTTTTATTTCACTTTGGGGTAGACTGAATAATTCCAGAGTGAAATGATTTGATGGATGTCATGTTATCAGTTATCTCCTGTTAATTTTTGAAAACGTTCATCCAGATTGCCTTAATGTAAATTATTGAACTTTCTTTTTTGTTTCCAATTTATTGGATCTCTCAAAATCTTTATGTTTAGGATATATTAAAATGAGATAAAATTATTCAGAAATATGTAAACAAATATGAAGATTTTTTATCATTAAATGAAATATCCCATATTGTCTAATTTTTTGAAATTATCATTTTACAAAAAGACTATTATCTTTATATTTTTTTGTTCTGATAAAGACAATTTGCGTTAATCAAGATATTAAATTCCTGCAGTTCTGAGATGAAGTATTGTTCAGTCTAGTATTGTCATCATTTTTTTATTATTTGAATGTTTTAAGAAAAAGCCCAAAGAACATCTGGTTTTAAAATAAAAAAAAAAAAAAAAAAGGACAAAGATATTAATCCAATTACTTCAGAGAACAAGTCTGTATTGCTTGATAATGATTCATTTTTAATTGATAGGTATCTCTCTTTTTGTTTTTCAGATCCCACAAATTGAAGATTTTGTCAATTTAAAAAAACCAAGAGTGATGGAAAAAATATCTTTTTATTCATTTGAATTTTCTGTTAAATACATGAATCATTTGTAAAAAAAATGATTTTTTTATTTTTTTTTTTTTTTAATGTCAAGATAGCTTGAATATTTTTTTATCATTTCCTAACATAAGACAATAATTTTTTTTTTATCTTCTGTTATCTGGATGAGTTGATGTCCAAACCATTAATACCATACCCTTTGACCTTATCTTTGGAACTATCAAGAAATGTTTGCATTTTAAGGGAATTGTCTGAAATGAGAAACCAATTAATTTTCCAAAATCCTGTCAAATGACCAGTCATTTTTTTTCCCTCCCTGTGTGTGTGTGTGTGTGTGTATATATATATATATATATATATATATATATATATATATATATAATGTACACACACATTTCTCTCTTTTTTACATATGGTCACACAAGGTTCTTACATATACAGTAGTTAGGGCACCTTAATAGGTGGACTGATTGAATATTTTCTGCCAATGCTAGATATAAGTGTTCAAGTGAAATCCAGAAATTCAAATACTGATTTTCAAGACTAGACAATTCTCCCCAAATGGAAAATTAGTGCTACACAATATTCTTATCACCATTTTTCTTTCTTTCTTTTTCATGTTTAGCTTAATAATATCTCTCCACATATATAATTTTCTTTTTACATATTTTTTTGTAATCCTTTTATTTTAAATGCCGAATTTATATTTTTAAATTAAAAGAAATCTATTACTGTGGTCTTGTACTAGCTTAATCTAAGTTCATTTTAATATATTCATCTAATGGTGTGGCTAAAGAGGGTTGTTTCTGCTATGATCAAAGGAAATGACTATCATATTTAGTAACATGATATAATGAATGACAAGACATCACAGAATAATATGACCAAAGATACATTACCAATACTTATATATATGGTAATAGAAGCATATAAATTATATATATAAAATGTCAAAAAAAATAAAAAGAATAAAGAAGTAACGCATTTGTTTATATTTAAGAGGAAATATTAGTGAGTCTTTAATATATTTATGAAAAAAATTTTTTGATTTATATCGTTAAAGCATTTAAATTGCAATTATTTGATCAATTTTTAAAAATTTTCCATGAGCAGTTTCCATATAAAGGTGTGTCAATAAATAAAATACATTAGTAATTTTGAATTCATTTAATTACTAACGATACAATTCTGAATAATTGATTAAAAAACAATTCAGGAATAGAAATTTTTTTTTTTTTATGTTTTAAAGGGTTCGTATATATAGTTATCAATAGCACTCTGGAGATTGATAAATATATATATATATATATATATATATATATATATATATATATAATATATGTATATATATATATATATATATATATATATATACCGTATATATATGTATGTATATATGTATATATATATATATATATTATATATATATGTATATATTTGTATATATATTATATTTATATATATATATATATATATATATATATATATATATATATAAATATATATATAGTATATATTTATATTACAATGAATCATTCATACAAAAAGTAGACTAATAAAGTTAATAATATAAAATGGCGAAATCCCTTCACAAACTAAATTTTAAAGTTGCATTAACCTACAAATCACTCGAATGTTATGATCCTTGTTTTTAAAAATTATAAGCTGTATAAGGTCTTTTTTAATATGCAAGTACTTTCAACTGTACATTCAGTCATCTTCAGGCATGGAAATTATTTTGTTGTTTTGGTAAAATTCAGGTATCATCCAAGACGAAAAAATTAAATGCAAATCGAAATATGTTTTCTTTTGAAATATGTTATTGTCAACAGATACAAACTTTTGGAGCATGCAGTTGCAACGCTAAGATTGTATTTTTTGAAAAAAGATTAAAAATTAATAAAAAAAACACACCCTCTTAAATTTTCAATATATATATATAGGAAATGACAAGAGGATAACTTTTTATGCTGACAGGTTTCATTCCTAGAAGAACTTTATCAAGGCCAATATAGAAATAAAGTTCCTCAAGGAACAAAATGTGTCAACATAAAAGGTTTTCATCTTGTCATTTCTTTTATTTATTTGCAGATTCATTAATTTATATCTCACACACATACAGATATATATTTATAGTCTAATATGAGGAGGTGTGAGCAGTGTGATTATGTAAGTTTTCTCTTACTATTTCTATAGTTTTTTTATATGAGGTGTTGAAAATTCCTTGGCCCAACCCACTTTCCAAATTAAGAATCTTGATTTGATTTTGGGAAGTTGATTAAATAAAAATCTTATCAGCACCCCTTTATATTCATTCAAATACACAGGCATTTTATTTTATACATTTTCCTTTCAGCAAAGTGTTTCTTGGACATAAGAAAGGAAACCTAGATAAAATATATGCTATTAAAGTGATGCAAAAAGACTATATGGTGAATAAAAATTTGGTCCGCCAAGGTAGGTTTCTTTAATTTTTCACCTAATTTCATTAATAATTTTTCTTTATTTTACTTTCTTGTTTAATTCCCCCCCCCATTTTTTTAAGAATCTAAAAATCTTGAAGTCTCATCCTGCTAACAGAATGTAATAGCATGTTAGTTCTGAGTAAAATAAATAAATAAATTATATACATACATATATATATATATATATATATATATATATATACACACACACACAGTGAACTCTGTGGCTGGTGCCTCTTGAGGGGTTTTGAAAGGAACATGAACTGGGCAAGGATGAAATTCAAACCAGCTAAATCAATGTCTCTTGTGATTAAAAAAAAAAAAAAGGCCAGGTCACCGACAAATACAGATTTACTATCGCAGGAACAAACATCCTTTCTCTCGGTGAAACCAATCAAGAATTTAGCCAAGACATTCGATAGTCATCTGAGAGATTCCACCCCTATCCACCAGACTAGTGATGACCTAGACACAGCATTATTAAGAATCGATAAATCAGGCCTATCAGGTCGATTTAAAGTGTGGGTATTCTAACACTCATTATTACTATGGCTGCTCACTATGGTGGAAGCTTTAGAGAGGAAAATAATGACGCACTTGAGAAGATGGCTTAGGTTACCTAAAAGCTTAAGCAGTGCAGCGCTGCATGGTAACACAAATGTGCTAAAGCTACCACTTAGCAACCTCAAAGAAGAGTTCCTATTAAGCTGGGCTAAAAGGGAGGTCCCCTAATTCAGAGACTCTAAAGACCTGAAAGTGAGCAGAGCAGGTATAGAGACTCAGACATGGAGAAAATGAAGTACCATTAAAGAACCAGCTGTGGCAGAAAAGAGGTTAAAACAAAAAGCCATAATAGGAATCACGGCAAAAGGGAAGACAGGATTGGGTTACTTTCCCAGTATACGATATGATAAAGTCCAAGGTAAGGAAAGACACCAGTTATTACAAAATGAAGTCCAAGCAGGCACCAAGGAAAACCATTACTGTAGAATGGTTGGGCTTTGCTAACAAGGAGCATGGAGAAAATGGGAAGGAATTGAACAGTAGAAGATAAATTGGTTAAATTGCTGGCCTGCTGACTTTAGTAGAATACAGTTCCTACTAAAATCAGTCTACTATGGTCTCCCAAGTCCAACAAATCTAAACATGGGGTATAAATGAAATGCCCAACTGTGTAGAAGGATAGGTTCATTGCAGCACATCTTAAGTAGCTGCTCCAAGGCTTTAAGAGATGGATGGTATCATTGCTGCCATGATCAGGTCCTTAGAGCCATAATGAATGCAGTCATGACAGCCATAAGCTCATGCAAATTTAAAGCAGGATGTAAAGAGTCATTAATACATTTTATTAAGGCCAGAGGAAATAAAACAAAAGCAGGAAGAATACCCCAAATATGCTTTCAACAGCACCCGATTGGCAGCTGATCACAGACCTGCAAAAACTACCGAAATTCCCAGGTCATATAGTGCAGACAATACTTTGCCCAGGTCTATTAATATATTCCAACAGCACCAAGAAATTAATAATTTGAGAACTAACAATTGTATGGGATGAGAACATCATACTTGCTAATAAAAGAAAGTATGAGAAATACCAGGATCTGGTCGAAAGGTGCCAGCAAAATGGTTGGAAAAGCTACTTCGATCCAATTGAAGTGGGGTGCAGAGGTTTTGTGGGACACTCACTAAGCAAGGCACTAGCGAAAATTGGAATTGTAGGTGCAGCAAAGAAGAAAGCCCTGAAAGAAAGCTCAGACACAACTGAAGAAGAATCCCAGTGTTTATAGCTAAAAAAGAATGATCTGTGGATTAAAGCATGAATAAGCCTTTTATGATGAGTGAAACTGCACTAGTTTTTTTCTCAGTATTTTTTTTTTCTTTCCCTTTTTTTTGTTTTTTTTTTTATCTGACATGGGAGGAGAAAAAAGTACTTACCAGTTTAACCCAACATTTCAGGTATGATGGCATTAAATAAATGGTAAATGTAGTCTATCATCAACTGACACATTATTTTAAAAACATTGTTGATTTTAAGTATAGTCGAGTATATGAATTGCGATTGGGTTCAGAATTATATTTACTTCCTCAATACAAGGCAATATAAGAGATTTAACTCTTGAATTCCATTTGATGCTGTTTATTTTTTTTTTGTTCATTTTTTGTACATCTAAAGAATTATTTTTTTAGATGTCGAAGCTGTGGGGGTATTGTTTGGTTCATGTTCTAAATCGCACTAGGAGTGGAATAGACTTCAATTAGTTTGCTATAATTACTAGTTTCACGTCTGAGAATCCAAAAGCTACTTAGAGTGTCCCATGTCTAGCTGAGATGTTTTTTTGTTTTATTTCCATGATTGCCAAGAATGTTACTAAGCTTTTTTTATGGTGTGAATCAACATACACCTTTTTCCAGGATAGTTATTTTGGTAATTAATATTAGTATTAACCAAAGTTTTAAATAAGTTCACCTGAACAAGTTTAGGTAGCTGTTTTTTTTTTTTTTGTTAAGCAAGTTAGCTTGCATTTACTAGCTTGGGTGTCTTTGGAGCCAGCGGGCAGTTTACACTGTAGTTAGGCATTTGCGGGCGAGGGACAAAAGGACTTTTAAATAGTAGTTATCAGTGCAGGATGCAGGGTCAGCATTCAGAGTTCAAATTCTGGCTGAAGCTGTTGCATCCACTTTTGCACAAATGCCCTTGGGAAAGGTATGAATCCATCACTTCTTCCTCTCCCTTCTTAGATAAATGTTAAATAGATTTTTTAGATTTTTTTTTTTTAAGGGCTTCTTCATTGGGCTAAGGACTTTTCAGCATACTTTCTTATATGTACATGGTAGAGACAGATGAGATTATATATGAAATATGTTACATTTTTGAAAGTAGACCACTACAGAATGGAAGATAAGTTATTAAACAAAGTTGTAATCTATTAGAAAACTCTTTAAAAAGGAGTGGAAATAGATTGGGTGTATTGTCACTGTTTAAAGAACCATTCCATAAGTTATTTTCCTCTTCTACAATTCTTTCCTTTCATGATCATATATTTTATTTACTCTAATAATTGGCAAAACTAATGTGAAATATTTTTTAATTTCTTTTCTTAGTGATCACAGAGAGAAATGCATTAGCTGTATCAAGGAGTCCATTCATTGTTCAACTTTATTATTCATTGCAGACACAAAAGAACATATATCTTGTAAGTAATTCAGGTTTTTCTTCTCTCTTTCTTTCCAAATAGACATTTAAAATTATTATAATGATTTGATTTCTGCATGTTTGTGTATTTGTTGTCTTACTACAGCAAAAATAGCACATCATATTGCAATTTATGTTACCACAATCCAGCTAAAAATCTCTTAGAGAATAAGACTATTAATAGTCTGATAATACCACTATTTTCTAAGTTTTTACTTAAATATAAATTGACTGCACCAGCCCCAAAATACATGTTCAAGGAAGATTACTCCTGATTTATTAATTGCCAATTACAGTCATTTCTTTGATCTGTCTTCTCTTCTCCCTCATTCATTCTGACATACCTGTGACAATACTTTAATTAATAATAATTATTAATCTTGGTAATAATTAGCATTTACAAATAATTTTAATGTAAATTCTATAAATAAGAAATGATTTGACATTGCACGGCATTTAAGTGTTTTCTTCAGTGAAGGAAAACTTAGATTCATTGTACTCTGAAAGGCTTATAGTCATAAATAAATTTAATTCGTGGGTTTTTTTTTGGGGGGGGGAGGTTGTTGCTTAGGATTTAACTCCAATATGATTTCAGCTGATATTGATTTCTTTCTCTTGGAATTTTTCTAAATTAAAACATTATATTTTCTGGGAGATCCTCAAGATCAGATGGCAGAGCTGCTGCAGTGAGCCTCCATAGACACCCCCACCCTTGGTATTACCCACCCTTGGTATTAAGGTATGCCGAAGATAATGGAGATTCATCAGCCGTAATTTAAACCAAGACCCAAACAATAACTGCAACATGGGTCCTTGAAGAAAAAAAAAAAAAGAAAAGAATGATACCAAGATTGACATGGTGAAAGACTACAGAGAAAGAGAGGAAAGCAATGAGCTGGTGATCCTGGAGAGAAACATAAGTAGCAGCTGCAGAGAGAGCAACATAGAGATGTTGTGTTGAGGTTTTATATACCACAAGGATCCATGCAGACACATATTTTGGATGCACTGCCTTGATTTTTTTGTCACTCTACAAAAGACAGCTTAAAAACAATAAAAACATCAGACTCTTCTATTTCATCCAGAGTACAAGTATTTTGCACACTAGTGGTTCAAGCTTTACAGCTAGGATAATGGTTTTCTTTGCGGTTGTTAAAACACCATTTATTCTCAGAATGGTTGAAAAACCATTGTTAAAAGATCAGAATGAATTGCAATGAGCAATAAGGAAGACATTTGTCTCAATGTCTAGCAAATACAATTAAAAAAAAAAAAAGAAACTATTATAGAAATAAGTTGCAATGCCATAAGCTCATAATATTATTTTTTGATTTTACCAGTGTAATATCCATAAAAAATGATGGAATTATTTACATCTGTTTCATCTACATTTCTCTATTGAAAAGTTAATCTTCCCCCAAGTTACACTTTTTACTTATTTCCTTTGCCAATGACATCTATCATCTAAATACTCCATTCTCACAAAATTTAGTTTTGAGGAGTTTAGCACACCAATATGGTTTTAAAAATATATATGTGCTAAATTGAACAAATCTGCTATCCTGTTAAAATGTAATTAAAATTCAAAGAAAGTATACTCAACAACTATCCAGTTAAACTTAATGAAGATTTTTACAAAAATTTACATTTAATTGAAAAATCATAATCCAAACAATAATTTTTAAAAAATAATCCAATGTCATTAAAATTCATGATATAGTTTAGAAAATAATTTACATCGCTTAATATTCTATTTATCATATTTAAAAAAAAATTAAATAATTTTCAATTAAATTAATATCCTAATTATAATGACATTAATAGATTTTAAATTGTCATGTTAAAATTTAATAAAAATTCAAAGAAAACATTACATTTTTAGTTTAATACATTAATATTATTTGAAAAAAAGAAGTAGATTTAAGCAACTTTTTGAAATAATTACTAACATTTAACAAAAAAATATTAATATTCCAAAGCTAATTTTACTTAATATTTCAGCAGCAGTATACTGGCTTATTGGTATGTCACTTGTCTGCTAATCTCCTGGTCTGAGTTTTGAATCGGAGTAATTTTATATATCTGTTTGCTTTAAGATGATAAAACCAACAGACAGAAAGGTGATATTGTCTGCCTGTTATATAATGCTTTGATGATTTAACTATCAATTTATCTGTTCTTCCCAAAACAAGAAAATCAGAAGTCTTTCTTTTACATGTTTTATTAGTTTGTATATATATATATATATATATATATAAAATGGCCAGCTACTCTCATCTTCCAAGCAGACCAATCTGCTTGGGTAGCTATCCAATCCCTGTCACAGAAATTCATGCTCAGGGACATTTTATGTTTGTTCAAAACCCACAGAGCCCATCTGTGGTTTCAACTATGCAGAGTGGATCTTTCTTACAGTTCCTAGGCAAGAACACAGAATCTGGCATGATAAGCTGTTTGAACAATGCCAGTACATTCAAACCTTGTCACAATGACGTGTGACTTTGTGCTTAAAAATTATCAACAGCTTCTATCTACCCAATTTCACTTACAAGGCTTAGGTTAAACTATGATGTAATTTTCAGGCACTTTTAAAAAGTGCTGTATGCTCAGATCACCTGACAAATCAACCATGGGAAATTTGAACCCTGGTCTTATGCCCAGAAAGAGAACATTATAACCACTTGGCCATAATACAACACACACACAAGGTGCTAAAAATCCCTTATCCAAACCCACTTCTTAAAATGATCAGAAAGCAAATATTTTAAACAAGATAACCAAATAACATTTTTTTTATCCATTCTTCATCAAAATTTTTCAGCATCCCCTCTTATAACAATAAATTCACAATTGAATTTTAACCTGAAATTTTTATTGGATAATGTTTGAGCTAAATGACTTATATTCACCACTGTTTTTAGGAAGGAAAAATAAATATTTGCTGTGGAAAGTAGATATATTTTCTTATCAGTAGGCTGAAAGAATTATTGTACTACTTATATACAGAGTTTGTCAGTTAATTCAAATCAAATTATAATATAAAGAAAAAGATTATTTCTCTCTAAATTTCTGGGATTTATTTTTATTTACAGTCAGACTAATGCATACCTATAGATTGAATAAAGGCTTCAGTATGATATCTAGTCCAATTATCAGGTGCATCAAATATGGTTTTATAATTATTGACAGCTTCTGAACAGCTCTGTCTACCCAACTTCACTTATAAGGCATGGGTCAACATTAAGTTACTGTTGAGAAATCAGTTTCCATGTACTTCTTCACTCAATCTCTTTGTGATGTTTACTTAAAGGTGGTAGTTTGGTTACTTTGATGTGTTGAGTCAATGTTCTTAATATTCTGCATTTTTTCTCTTTTGTTTAGATTTGCAACACTAGTTTCTTCAAATGTTTTTGCTGGTCAATCTGCTTTTGGTTGCTTATCCTCCTTTTAAACTTTCTCATTTTTTTCCAATTTCTTTTTTGATTGTTCTATGGTCTCTTTTAAACCTTTTTAGAATTTTCCAAAACTCTGTTCTCATCACTCAATAAGTTGACAATAGCCTGTTTTCCTTTTGATGTTATATCTTTCTTAAGACCCTTAGCAATCTTTGCATTTCTGAAATTAAAAAAAATAAAGATCTGTAACTATACTGTTCTATTTGTATTTATTTGAGGAACAAGCCTTGAGTTACATAATAAAATTTTACTCCACTAAATAAGTTCTTGTAAATATTTCTAACAAAACAAATAAGCTGAAATTTATGAATATATCCTGGAAATTTGCCCAACATCAATTTTATATTAAACATTGACTTGCATAATAAAATCTAACATTGTGTATTTTAAAAAGATGAAAAAATAAAAGGTTACTTAATGTTGTAGCATACCTGCAGACAATAATGGGTATGTTGATTTCTTTTATTTCAGGTAATGGAATACATGATAGGAGGTGACATGAAGAATTTGCTGGCAGTGTGTGGTTATTTTGATGAATCAATGGCACTTACTTATATTGCAGAAGTGATATTAGCCCTGAAATTCCTTCATGGTTTAGGAATTATTCACAGGTATAGTTCTTTTTTTTCTTTTAAATATTCATCGATATAAATGTGAATCTGTTTTTACTTTTTTTATTTCATTAAAGTGTACTGTGGAAGAAACAAGTAATTTGAAGCATTAGTATTAACATTGGGCAAAAATTAATTTGCTTTGAATTCCATATAAAATATTTGTCTTACTTTAGATGAGCACTTTCTTTTTAAAAAAAAAACAAAAAAGACGTTGGTTTCTAATAAAGCAAGGGAGGTAACCATCACCCGTGAATTTGGCATTTAGAAAGACACATCTGGGATGAAATTAGATTGAAATTATTTTTTAACTCATTCTTTTTTAAACTTTTATTTACAAAATTAAGTTTTCTTGTTCTGTTTTTTTTTAATGAGTGTAGATTACTAAAAGTAATTCGATTTGTCTCCTTTGACAGGATTTATCTACGTGAAATACGTATTTATAAAAGACTAAAGAATGAGATTCATTTTTTTAAAAAATATTGTTTATCTTTACATCTACTGTGTATTTATTTGTTCTTTCCTCTCTTTTAAATGTTGAAGGGATTTGAAACCTGACAATATGCTGATATCGGGTGGGGGGCCATATTAAACTCACAGAGAAAATATTTATTATGAAATTACAATAAATAACATTTATGTTCTTCTTTTTAATTTATGAAAACATTTTTACATTTGGCATGTTTAATAAAAATCAATATTTTCAATTATAAAAATAATCACATTAAATTATATTACATTGTACAAGTGATATTAGCCCAGGAATTCTAAAATCACCATTGAAACCTTGAAATACTGCGGTCAAGATTAAGGAAAACCTACTAAGGTAAGCTGATGGCAATCCTAAAAAAAACTTTGCAGACTGTTCCAAAAATTAAAAAGGACGCTTGGGTAAGTGTAAATTTACAAAGATAATACTGTGAAGGGGTTTAAAGTGTCATTGTTTTTAGTTTCATTTTTTTATAAATGACTCACTAGTTTAAACTTGCCATACAAAAAATAGCGGCATATTTTAAGCATTTATATTAATAAGGTTTTTATGTGAGAGTCTATAAATTAATTTCCAGTGCAAGGGAGATAAAGTAAATCGATAATGCAAGAGAGATAACTCTCAGCAAAAGTTACAGATATAATAGACCAAAAGAATATTTGGTGCCCTTATGTAGTAAAATGGTTGGAGACATTCTGGAGAGAACTCCTGCATTTCTGAAAGTAAATGTTCTGATTATTATTTGCTTTGCTATTCAGACCAGCACACACATCTCAATTCTTATATTCACAATTTTTCGGCCATTGTACCTTCCAGTTTTCTTCAGGTGCTGTTTTTACTCGGTCACCTCCTATAATAATTGTTGTCGATTACTTTTCACACTTCTGCTGCTGTAAACATACTTATGTCTTTATAAAACTGATATGGCCTGCTGTTGATGTCTGTATGTGTGTGTGTATGTAAATATATATTGTCTGTAATATTCAATGAAGCATGTTTGTAAAGAAATGTTGCTGCCCAAATATCACATTTTATATATTATTTAAATATATATATATATATATATATATATATGTATGTCAATGGGCTTTCATTGTAAAAGGAAATTGAGGGTCAAGAAACTCAGTTTCTAAATTTGAAATCCAAGTAAGCAGAATGTGATTTGGTGTATATATGTAGAACCAATTTTTTCACTTTTTGTAGGGACAAATAAAAACCTGGTGCATGATACTTTAGAAGGTCCCAAACGAAAGCAGTTTGAAATCGAGTTTCTTCCCTAGACTAGTTGCCATCCAAAACTATAGAACCCAGTCTGATCCTGCTATTTGCCATAACTGGGTTAAGAGAACAATTAATATATAATAAAGAAGTGTTGGCATTAAAGAATGAAAGTTACTTTTGTAATTCAAATTCAAGGTTAAAATTCCTGAATCAAACAAAATATAAAAAAAAAGTGTTTCTAAAATTTTAAATTAACAAGAATATATATCAAATTTAATAGGAAAATATTTATCTATATCTATATATATATATATATATATAATATATATATATGACATATATATGTACATATGGATGAAAACTTGTATTTAAAATTCAATTTAGAATTCAAATGTTTATGAGTTCAATTCCATGATCCAATTACATTCACTAATTTATATAACAATCTTTTGGAAAAGGTATGAATCCAAATTTCATCTCCCTCCAGCTATTTTAAACAGCGTTGAGGACAGATGGGTTCTATAGCCTTGATGGCAACTGGTCTAGGAGAAGGACAACTTGAATTCAAAAACCTTGGAGGGTCGTTTGGGAAACCTTGTGGCATGCATTTTTATTACCAGGTTTCTGTATTCGTATGAAAATTCAAAAGTTTGGTTGGTCCTGCACAAGGCCTTCACCACTATAAACAAATCTCATTTTCCGTGTTTGATCAGGAATTTCCTGGGACTTATACCTGGCCTTGAATTTCATATAAAATATTGTTAAAATGATGATCAGGGTCATCTCATAATATATAATATTTATATATATATATATATATATATAATGTACAACCGAATTTATTCTTTTTAAACAAATTAAATATATATATATATATATATACATTTGTGAATTATATATATAAAACTAATGCAAAGGTTAATGATTTAATAAATATGAGAATATATATTTTCGATATATCTTATTAATAAGAGAAAAAAACAAGAACAACATCTATTATATACCTGAAGATGTCTGAAAGGAACAGACGAAAGCTTGTAGTAAAAATAACAACTAATACGGCAGAAATTTATAAAAAACAAGGATCAATTCATTCATAACGGATCTGGAGGTTTTTGTGTATTATTTGAATTGTTTGCGAGATGGATGTCTCGCCATTTAAATCATTAACCTTTGCATTAGTTTTTGTGTGAATAATTCATGTATTTGTAAATTGATTACGTTTATTATAAATATATATATATATATATATATATATATATAGATATTTATAAATAAATTATAAGTATGAATATGATAAAAAATATAAATATATACAAATATACTTGCATGTATATATAAATACATTTCTTCCTCCAGTATTATAAATACAGTGCTCAATGTTATGTAACAGAGATATAAGTATATATGTATATATTAGTGAATATACATAATAGCCAACATCGATAGCATAACTTGGAGTTTCATGAGGTCTTGCAATCTTCAATATATATATATATATATATATATATATATATATATATATATATACAAGTAAGAGGTTTGTCATTATTGATTGATGTTTTTTTCAGCATCACAACTCCATGAGAGTTCTAGCGACGATTTTCCGAGAGTCACACTGTCCACTCCTCAGGGAGTATCAGCAATTGACTGTTTATACTTCTCAATTTTTCTTTTTTATGTGCACTTTTCATTGGTGCAATTTTTATTTTTCATAGTGTATGTGCATTTGTGTGCATGCACCCTTACATGCATATGTGTAGAATGTCATGGTTATTTTTCCTTTTCAACATTTTTTCACTTTATGCTCTCCTTATTGGTTTTTGCTTTTTCTCTCATTTTCTCTTATGTGTGTGTGTAAAAGAAGACAATAAAATGTCAGTCCCTAATGTTTGTATTATAAACTAACTAGAACTTAATACTATTTCCAAACTTTCATAGACATATAGTACAATACAATACAACCTGTTTTTTGATGTATTTTTATTATATTGTGTGTTGGAATGTCATTTACTTTAGTCTGTACCACAAAGTATCCAATTGTAACTAAAATAACAACACCAATGAGAAAATACTGTCAGTATCTTTATAGTCAAACTAAAAATGAAGAAGAATAAACAAAAAATGAAACAAAATAAGTAAAATGAATTAATTCAAACAAATAATTAAATAAATTAAGTAAACAATAAACAAATTAACCAATCACAAACACACACACATAAGCACAAGTAAACATAGTAACAACCAACAATAAAATAATCAGTATTTACATTAAAATAATCAATTATAAATTTAAAAAATTTAACAAACAACACTAAATAATTTTTAAAAAATTTTTAAAAAAATTGCATCTAGATCCAAAATTGACAGGAAGAACAAATGGCGCATGCATGAAAAAAGAGGGGCTTCCTGGCACCAAAAGTCAAATGAGAAGAACTGCGCTCTTTTCCCCTAAACTTTCAAGGGGTAAACATGTGCCTTTTGCTTGGGAAGACACTTCCCTTCAACAGACTGTTGCTACCCTGTAATAAAGTTCCTAAATCTATTTCTAGTATCTCTGTCTCCTCCTTTCCCTTGAACATTCCATTTCAGCAATGATAAGAATTCTAGCTTTGACCTCTGTTTGGTATTGTACTATTTACATTAACCACTCCTGATCCATTATGTTTTTATTTCACTTACATCATGATTTCAGTTTGCAATTTATTTTTGTCATTAGTGTAGCATCCCACAATATAACAATTTGTTTTTCTTATTGACTTCATCTGCCTTGCAGTAAATTTTAAGATTGTAATAGTGTCATGGGTCCTTACCTATAACTACAGACTGAACTCTTCCTAACACTATGTATACTATGCCTCTCAAGAGAGAGGGTCGAATCGAGTCTAGCCAATAGTAGTTCACTCCAAACCAGATTGACAGTCATACTAACACCTTCCACATCTTGTATTATTATTTCGTGTAATATACCTTCATTATTTCTACTCTTGTGTTTGTGTTGTTCTTCCTTGGTCCTAACCTAACCTCAGACCATAACAAATAGAATGTTTTATATATTGATATTCATGGTGCCAGTGATTGATTAATCTGTTTTTTACAGCTTATCAAACCTTTGTGGGTTATATAAAGCTAAAATATATTTTGGATTGTAGGAGGTTGCCTACAGTAACTGATGGTTCCCTATCTAAGTACTGACCGAGCCCAATACTGCTTAACTTTGTGAATGAATGAGACCCAATGTTTTCAGATGATACCAGTGAACAATGAGAAAAAATTTCATCTGACAACATTGTTATTTTATAAGAAAAGTAGTGAACTTTAAATCTCTAACCTGTTACAATGAAACAAGAAAATATATAAAGGTGATCCTGCACAAGATTCCTTAATTCTCCTCCTCCTTAGTGTCACCTGACTCCCCTGGGAAATATAGGGTCACAACTTTTCCACACTAGGTGTTACTACTGTGGATTCTGTAGCATGTAGGTTTTTATGTGTTGTGGTACTAACTCCACATCCAACTGGTTTTGAATTCGGAATCATCCTTCTCCTTGACTAATTACCAACTAAAGCTAAAGAACCCAGTCTGCTGTTTCTTGGGCGATCATGTATCTTTTGATACATGACTGAGGCAGAAGATTTTTCCCACAGTAGCTTGCCATTTCTTTCTGCAGTAAACTGGTTGCCAACCAAGATTAAAGAACCCATAACTGGGGGGAAGAAGAGATGGATATGTTACCTTTCCCAAGGGTATTTGTGTGTAAGTGAATATAACAAACTCGAATAGACTCTATTTGCTTAAAAATAATACTAAATCTCTTAAAGATGGTTTTTTTTTTCTTTGTAAAGTTTTGAGTCATAAGCTTCTTTATTCATCCAGACTTAAATGGAAATAATTCTTGTAGTTTATTTAAACAATTTCTCTCTTTGTAGATCAAATATACAAAGAAATGTTTGATGGTTCCAGTAGTCAAGAATGGTTGACAAAATGTCATTTAACACCAGGCCAGATTCTATCCCTCACCAGTTCCCTTGGTTTTGTAAGTATATTCAACAGATTAATTCTTTTACTGGTCAGTGGATTAATTGCAGGGGTGGAGGGTGCTGGAAAGAAAGTTCTCAACTTTAGTTACTTACCAAAATTTGGGTAAATATCAGATTTTTTAAAATTCTTTCTTGATCAGGCTGAGAAATTTGTATTCAATATATTCTTTTACTTTTCAGTAGATGAATATTCAAGAGAAGAATTCTATTATTGTTCAGTGAGTTAATTTAGAGAGAAGTAATTCTATTATTACTTAGTGGGTTTGTTTTTTGTGTTCAACGAATTAGTATTCACTAGATTAATTCTTTTATTATTCGATATTATTACAAATAATTTCAGGTAAGTTCCAAGGGAGATAACCAGAATGGACTTACCAACTGCACCACACACACATCTTTATGATAGTTGGCTTGCTGGTCTTGCAAGCCATTTCTAGTGAATTCATTCCTCTCACATGGTGATACAGGTACATTTCCTTAAGCTAACCTCTCACTTGTCTGCACAGATATTTTTAAAGAAGATTTAGTTAGAACTGTATTGAGTTTGCTTGTTATAAAAAAAGGGGTTCAGTGAGAGGGTCCTTAATTTCTGTGTTTCTTTGGCTTGTCTTCTACTGAAGTTGTTTTCCTTGGACCCTATTCTCATATTGAATTGCTGAGCTGTTACTCATCAGTAATCAGTATTGAAGATAAGATTGAAAATTTTGTTACAATCTGTCTTCTCCTCTGGCTGTGTTGTACTTTTTTTGTGAAATAAAAACCATATAATCTAGCCTGGTACAAGGCCACAATATTAATGCACCAAGTGAAGATTTTTTTTTTTTTTTCTTAAAGCAATTCACCCCAAGCAAGGTGGGAGTACCACTAGCATGCAAGGGGTTACAGAGGATTGAGAACAAGAGTAAAGAGGCATGTTTGGAGAAAGGATACAGAGAAGGACATGGAACAAGCTCGGGGTGTCAGATGTCAATTGAGATTACACTTGAATACTTGAAGATTATAGTCATCAGGGAAGCAAATAAGGGAGTTCCACAGATGGGAAGTGTGGGAGAAGAAGCTGTTTGAGTAGAAGAGATATTTAACCATTTTGACAGTGAAAGGGTGGGACTGAGATGCCAGCCTGGTAGCACGCTTAAATTCATGCAGTCCGGGAACCAGCAAAAGCAGTTCATCGGAACAATTGCCATGAAAATACTTGTAGAAGAGACAGAGGGAGGCCATGGCACATCTGTGGGATGGCGATTGCAGACTAGATGCCAGATCAGGACCTATCATCTAGCATATTTGTCTCTGGATTCTGTCAAGGACCTCAAGATATCCCATTTCACTATACTAGAAATGATCTGTATGACCAACTTGCTGATCATTGCTCTGTAACAAGCATCATAGATGTTTTCTTAGTCTGGTATAAGGCCACAGTAGTTGGGCACTCCATAAAAATTGAATACATGTTCATTTAATACAAGGCTCGAGAGCCACTCAAAGGGTTATTGTTAAAATTTTTATGATGACTAGGTATGAAAGAGGAGTTGGTAGAAAGTGAATATAATGAAAGGCCTTGATATAAGGAAGTTAAGATTGCTGTGCCCAGGGAAGCATCAATGCAGGAGTCTGTTCCAAAAAGTGGCAGGGACTGTCTTAGTGGAACTTTCTCATTACATTTGGAATATAGGGGAAATGAGGGTGTTTCAATTCCATGGAAATAGTGATAAAGTAGTGATAAGCTTGGGACATTGTGTCTGTAGCATAGAAGAGAAGCTTTCTAACTGCTAGGATTCCAAAATGTTTATTACTCTTAGCTAAGTCTGGCACAAGGTCAGAGTGGTGAATCATCAGTATTGCTCAATAATATATGACTAACTTGCAAACTACTGTGCTATGGCAGACTTCCTAAAAAGAAAAAAATTACTGTAATTAACCATGTATAATATGCATTTTTTTTCTAAAAAATAAGCAGCAACATTAGGAATGCATATTATGCACAGCTACAAAAAATCTTTAAAAAATTGCCATTTCATACTTCGATTTCAGTTGTGAAATGACTACTCACCACAAACTTACAGTAATTTGACACTAACATTCAATGATTACGACCACATAAGGATGTCAATTACAATTATATGTGCATAACGATACTTACAAATGTAAAATGGAACTAAATTAGAATAATATTTTTAATAAGAGTAGGAAATGCTGGCTATAATGAAATTGGAGATGTACAATTTATAGGGTTTGATTACCAAAGAAGGGGTACATATTATGAACAAGTACAAGCATTTTCCCAAACCTTCAACACAATTTTAGGGGTGTGTATTATACATGGGGAATTATGGTAATTCAGAATTAGAAAATATCACAGTATGCAAAAAGTTGATAGTAACACTTTCAATTCTATCCAAGAAAGAAGCTTTCAAGTATTTTTTTTTTTTAAATTACTACAATTGTCTGACTAGGATTTATTAAAAAAAAAAAAAAAAAGATCCTTAACCTCTGACATATTGTAGTAAAACATTAAGAAAAAATTTTTATTTTATTTAATGAGATCATTCTTCCCAGCTGATAAATTTTCTGTCATGAAACACTGCCAATGATCACTTTCTATAATTATATAAGCAGGAAAATTTTTTTTTTTTTTTTTTTGAGTCATCTGCACTCTCATAACTTTTGCTTGAATTTGCCACTTCTAAGAGATCAATTTCTATTTCCATTTTCATGTAAACCGGGCAGGATGGGGCTGTTATTTTGTTTTTCAACAATTACTTTTGTTTCATGTAGTTTTTTTGTTTTTTTTAAACTTTACTATGATTTGGTTTTAGTGGCTAGCAATAGCACTGCACAATCAGTTAAGTATTTTTTCATGCTATAAAAAGCTTGCCAGATCCAACTGTGGCAGAGCGACCACCTCACCCAAGATTTTAGTAGTATATGAATAGTGTTTTATGGCTGGAATGATTAAAGTAGTTGTACTAAATAAACGAAATGTAGTCTGGTTATATAGAAAGTTGAAAAAGGTATAATGGAAAAAGATACCAAATGAAATGGTTAATTGGGACATATAAAAAAAACCCCACATATTTAAGGCTTTGAGATTGAAACTAGTGAGAGTTGAAACCCATATTCTTAATTTAAATGGGTGTGTAGATAACAGAATTATCTGAATATTTTCCTATTCACCTAAAATACATTTCTCATTGCTGAACCCTACTTCAGCAAATAAAGAAATATATTGCAGAGAAGAGATTATGGTGTGGCTAGTTACAACAGGAACAGATTGCAGCTGGAGTGGAGGCATTCACAACTCATCATTCCCCCCACCCCCAAAAGAACCAGTGAGCGCTACCACAAGTAAATGTAACATGACATGCACTGTCATGTTACATTTACTTTTTGTTTACTTCAGCAAAGAGCACCCAGAGTCCTTGAAGCTTGACCTGTTGTCAGTTTTTACACCAACTACAGTTATTGAATTCTGCTACACCTGAAAGCCCAGTGCTACTAAATTTTGAATTGGCTTTCTTATTAGTTGCTCTAATTAGCTCAACTTATTTTAAAAAGTTGTCCAAGAATTTTGCAAGTAGCAAAATTAAAAATTTGGTAAAGGTGAGATTTCAAAAGAAGACCAATATGGCAACCCTGCTTACAGGTATATTCTCAAGAGTAGAGAAATACATGTAATCTACTGTGGAAATAAGTGGGGGATCTGTTTATGACTTCATTATAAAATAAAAGTGACCCCTGACTTAATATCCATTCTACTACATTTTGAATCAAATCTCTTATTAATAGTTCAAGTTAGCCAAACTTATTTTAAAATGTAGCCCCAGAATGTTGCAAGTAACTAAAATTAAATATTTAGTAGTAGTGAGATTTCAAAAGCAGCACAATACAATGAACCCTGCCTTTGTTTTGCCACCAATTTTTCAATTATTACCCAGAAATGATGTTTTCATCCAAATTGACCTTTTTTTGACATTGATAACAATTGCTCTGAAGATTATTGTTTTATTATTATTATTCTATAGAATATTTTTTTCAATGTTTCTGATTTTCTTTGTTTTCATTGTTAATTTCAGTCTGCCCAGAAATCAAAAACGAAACACACCAACCTTAAGCAAAATGAAAACTGCAGTTCTTCTTCCAAAATTACAAGTGGCAGCAGTAATCGTCGTCGTTACAGCTCTGCTACTCAACAGTTTCATGAAGTCCCTCCTGTTCGCAGGCTCAGAGATATTTTAAATCCTCATGAAACATCAGAAAAATCCTTTTGCTCAGCCTTGGATCATACGATTGAGAAATCTCTTTCTGATAGCGGACAGGACTTAAGCAATGATGTGTTTAGCAGTCCTAAATTTTCTTTTAATCAGTCTCTTCCCTCTGAAATTGAAACCACCAACCACAGTTTACAATCTAAAAGCATCAATAAAGGTGAAATGGATAATCAAGAAGCAGCAAACTGTGAACACGTTACAATTCCTCAAAGAACACATCTTGAGTCAATAACAGAAGATTCATTTTTTGCAAGTCCCAAAAGCCATATTGATTTGCAAAATTCTCATCAGAAAATTCAATCTATTTCACTGACTCACTCTGATTTTAGTCCGAATTTTGGCTTTCTCCATCAACTCAGTCAGTCGAGGAAAAGAAAAATGAGCTGCAGTGAACTGGCATTTGATAACATAGACAATAATAAAATTATTAATAGTGCACCTCTGAAGCCTTTGAAAAATAAAGTCCATTTCAACAACATCAGCAGTACTCCACTCAGTGCCAAATCCACAGACCAACAGAATTCTTCAGTTGGAATTCAAAAAAAGATCAGACATAAGGTTTGTATATTTGTAACCATTTATTTTATAAAATCTATGACATATAAAATATACTTAACATTATTTTTAATGAAATTCATGAAAGTTATTTAATCTGCAAAAATGATCAGAAAGAGCAAGAGAATTTTTTTTAAAAAAAAACTTTGATGAGGATATACATAAAACATAGATATAAATCAAAATTCAATATTTTTTAAGAATTGGATCAATTATTGTTTCACTGATCTCAACCCAAATGAAATGACTAAGCTCTTGACATTATGATTTCATATCAGATATACAAAAATAAATTTTACTATTTTCCCTTTATAATCAAATTTTATTTTTCATCTTTATATGGTCCAGTTCTTTCTAGCATGAGGTTATGTTTTAATCAATAATTGAAATGAAAAAAAATGCAATTCAATTATCTAAAGCATTATTCTGTTTGTTCCTGATTTTCTTAATTCCTGCTTCCATAAATTTTACTTTTATTGTATCTTCCATATCTAATTTATTGAGAGCATTATTTTTATATTTAAATAATGATGAGCTACTATTAGGAGGTTACAAATCTGTGAAATTCTGAATATTAAAAAAATAAAATCTTTAATTTTTTCATCTTGAGGTTTTTTCTTTTTAATCATTAAAATAAAAATGAAAGAAAAAGATGATGTGGTAATAATAAAAAAAAAACAAAAAAAAACAAATTGGTAATTAGCAAAAATATACTGCCTAAGTAAAATGTTGACCATGCTAAAATAAAACTATCTTGTGTGGTGAGATATGTCTCACTTCCCAGAGAATATTTGGTTTGCATCTTTTAAATGAGAACATGATTGTTGAGACAAAAGTGCTTATCCTATGCATGTGATATATTATACATTTTAATGAAACATCCTATTGAAACTATTAGAACATTTACTTAAATAACTAAATATTTGATAATTTCAATGCAATTTAATGTCTTGCTAGTTATTCTTGTATGATCATATCAAATATTTGGTGATTATTGCTGGAGAGTGAGTAACAGCAAGTTTCCTCAAATATCCAGTACCTTCCTCAGTATAATTACAAACTCCTGTAGTACGATCTCAATCTTTCCTCAACTCTGATATTCTTCTAGTCTCACACTTTTGGGGATACACCAATTATTATGTATATTTCTATTAACATCATGTCCTAGAACTTCATCAGTTTTTGAGTAAGGTTCTGTTATTTTTCAGTTTTTTTCGTTTCTCTTATGGTCTGCTCACATTGCCATGATTTGCAGATTTTCTTTACTCTAGTTACATTATTTGCAGTTTGAACTAATGTCCTCATTTTTGTTGTTATTATCACAACATTTTGGCTGTGGTGAACTTCAGCCTTTTCCAGGTGTCTGTTGATACAAGGAATTTCAAACTGAACCCTTTATTTAATTTACAGGCATAAATCATTCTAATTCTATTGTTCATGTCTAGAGATATCTCATCTTGTTATTTTTCTGAGTACTGAGGCTGAGTTTCTTTTGGTTGTTGTTTGAAATTGAATAAAATGGCCAATCTAGATCTTAAAGTATCTTATTTGTTTTATTTCCTAGGAATGCTTATGTTCTTCCCATTTCTTTAAATATCCCGTCATTTGCATGTTGCATCATTGTTCTTACAGCATCATGCCTGGCCTTGTGCCAGTTTATATTATTCATTTATGATTTAGTTTATTGTTCTTTTTTGTTTCAGAAACGAAAAATGAAGAGACAGAAATTTCGCAGCAGCTTAAAGTGTGCATTTGAAAATGTCAAGAAGTCTCCCCATTTGCAAGGGAAAACAAATTTAACCCAAGAACTGAACTGCTTAGATCTTGGAGATGGTTTAAGTGCCAAGAAAGCAAGACTTTCAAAATCTCCCAATCTCCAAAGAAACTCCAAGGCTGACATTTCCCAGGCCAGCAGCTATTTTTCAGCAGATGAAAATCTGAATAGTTCCCATCTGGACTTGGAGTCTTCCTCGAGTAAATATCCTGCTAAAAGCATCCAGTTTTCAGAGACTCTTCTGCGACATGAGTATAAGAGCTTAGCCTCTTTGGAAAGTGACAGCAAAAATATTTTCTCACCTTCTACACGCTCCACTCAATCACTCCAGCTGACCATTCCTCATTCGATTATGTCATGTCATCATTTCAATTCTTACCCAGACTCGTACATAACTCATCACCCAAAGCACCAGAGGAATGAATTAATGACTCCAGATACCACAAAAGACCAATTTACAGTAATGATTTCTTTTTTCTTTCATATAAATAGGCACAAAACAAAACCCACTATTTTTTTTATGCCCACATTTTTAAAAATGTATGTTGTCTGGTAAAGAGTTTCTAAAGATGTATGAATTTGTCTCTCTCTTGTGTGTGTGTGTGTGTGTGTGTGTGTGTGTGTGTGTGTACACACACACACACATATATATATATATATATATATATATATATATATATATATATAAATCAGTTGTTAAATAATCCAAATGAATCCTATTAACAAAAAATATCAAAACTGATTCGCATAGAGAGCTAAATGTTTCATTCAAACAGAGCATACATTACATCCAATAGGAATTAAGATTACTTTTGGGTAATAGCCATTTCACCTACATTTGTAGGTGAAATGGCTATTACTCAGAAGTAATCTTAATTCCTATTGGATGTAGTGATATATGTGGGAGAATATGATCTATAAATTTCTAAATATCAAGACAATGTTAGGCAATTGAATGACAAAGAGGAAAAATTTTGTGTAACAAGTTTCATCCTCTAGAATGACTTCATCAGACTAAAGTAATGTTTTTATTGATGGAATTGTATGTGTGTAGGAGCAGGGAGATGTAAACAAGAGCTCAAGGTGTGGAAATATTTTTAAAGTTTTGTTCTATTTTTTTATCAGACATATCTGGACATTTATTTTAGCCAGTGTCATTCAGTTTTCCTCCACTTTTGTCTTCATTTTTATCATTTTTTGTTTTTAAGTATTTTACATTATGTTAACAGGCAATCTTGTTCAAATTTTGATAAATAAATTGTTTATTGTTCAACATGAAGCCTATTTAATTTTGCTTGCCAGGGATATGTAATTACTCAGATATTCACATTTTAAATTATGTCAAAGGAAAAAGGGAAAAAGTATTGGTTAATTTTTTTTAAGCATATTTTTGTGATCATACATTCTTTTAGCCATTTTGAGCATGATGGTTGCCCTATAGAATAATTCATAAAATATAATAATTTTATCAAATTTGATTAAGTAAAATTAATACATATGAAATTTTCAAATCCTGATATTAACTTTTATTAGCTTGAAAAAGTTTTCCTCTTAAATTTCACAGTTTCTATTGTCTAATGAAATCCATCATTTAAAATCTACATTATATCATTTTTTTTCAGAAATCCCCATTTCACACACCTGGTCTTAATGGCTGGTGTCAACAAACACCTTTAAGAACTCCTAAAAGTGTCCGGCGCTGTCAGACTCATGGCCCTGGAGAACGAGTGCTTGGGACTCCTGATTATTTGGCTCCAGAAATTTTGTTACAGCAACAACATGGTAAGTTAAATTCTCTTATTTTTCAAGTTGTACTTTTCACTTTGTACCTATCTTACCATAAAATCCACCATTAATTTAGATAAAACAAATGTTTAACAAACTGGATTCAATTAATGTTAGTAAATACCCTTTTTATTTTCAGTCATCACTGATCACATCATTATTGTGGCCTTGTGCCTACCATTTCTTTGTGATTTAAATATTTCACTGTATCACAGCTCATCTGCTTGGCTAGATATCCAATCACTTCAGGCCAGGACTGAAACCTGACTGATTTGGTATCAGTCGGAGATTCTAACCCCTAGGCCATTGACACCCAACAGAAAGAAAGGCAAATTTTTACATATTTATTTTTTCATGAACATACCAGTCACTCAGAGAACTCAATCACTAGGAGAGTTTTGCATTATCGGCAGTAATAGTAACTGTTTACAAATTTGATATTTGCCCCAATGCTGAATCCAAACTTTAATGAAGACAATTTTATTTTTGGTTTGCAAATGTATTGGACAATATTTTTCTCATTTATTTAGACAACAGAGTTCAAAAGTTACAAAATTCCTTGTCTTATCTTTTTGTTTTTTCTTTCAGATGAAGCAGTTGATTGGTGGGCATTAGGTGTGTGTATGTTTGAATTCCTTACAGGTGTTCCTCCATTTAATGATTCAACTCCAGAAAGAGTTTTTCAAAATATTCTAAATCAAGGTAATTTCTAAATTTCTTTATCATCCACATTAGATACACACACACACACACACACACACACAAGTCACATAGACTGCTTGAGGCATATGGATCCACAGTTCTCAAGTCACATAGACTGCCTGAGGCATATGGATCCACAGTTCTCAAGTCACATAGACTGCCTGAGGCATATGGATGTACAGTTCTCAAGTCCCGTAGACTGCTTGAGGTGCATGGATGCACAGTTCTCAAGTCCCATAGACTACCTGAGGGAATTGAATGAGAAAGGTCTGAACCCACAGATAGACTGGAAAATTATAGGTTTTGCTCATACTCCAAAAAAGTCTTAGAGATAGTTATAACCTGTGTTTTTAGAAGAAAAAATTAGAATAATAAAATCCAATAATCAAAGCAAACTATTAAATCAAAGGAATGAACTAGTTTTAAAATGTCGGTATAGAGGTAGATTTAAACTTCTATAATATAGATTTTACATTATTACTTTTTAATTCTCTAACTCTTCAAATGTTGAATATATAACTGTTTCTAATTTCTATTATTTCCATTTCTTCACGTTATTAATTATATCTTATAATTGTCCCATGTTCTAAGAACTCTTTTTTTTATCACTTACACCTCTTTATCTATATAATTTTTTTTTTAAATACTTGATATGGTTTTGTTTTTTTTAATATAACTTGATTTAACTTATTATTGGAGTTAAAAATAGATAATTTATTTTATCTTAAAATTTTTTATTCTTTAATATAAAATTTTTTAATAATATATAAATTGTCTTAATATGATTTAATGTTAATCTTTTTAATATATCTCATTTTTAAGTATAATTTGTTATTTCTTAAGTAGGAACCTAACTTTTTTATATATAATTAAATTTTTTTATTTTTTTCAGCCCTCTTTTAGTTTCAGTTTAACACCTCATTATTCATATAACCTCAGTTTAATGTCATAAGGTTAATATTCTGGTTAATTTTATAAAACCTCTTCCTTTTAAGGTTAATATCTTCAGCCCTCCTCTTACCACCAACTCTGGCATTTCGTCTGACTGAAATATTGAAATGGTTAAATTCTGTATCAATTTTTCGACTGCTGACAAAGTTAAATTTTAAATTTCTAATTCCGACACAAACACATTCTATACACAGGGGTTGAATAAGACTTATGTACTTCTTGTTGGTTGAAATAAATCTATAGCATGAGGTAATTTTGTATTTTGTTGTGTAATAAATAAATAAATATATATATATATATATATATATAGTGTGTGTATGTATGTGTGCTGTACATCTTCAAAAATTTGTGGTCATATATGTTGGCTTGGGAAAGTAGTAATTCTTTAAAGAAAGGTGAGATTGGAAAGAAACCAGGGCACAGATTTATATTTTGATAAGATTCAATAGCAGCACTCTTGAGAATTTTCTGAGTAAATTACTTTCTCTTTTAATAAGTGTGGCATTTTTTAGATCAAAATTGCAGTTGAATTTATCACGGCCTATGACTAGTGTATTTGATAAATTGTTATGTAGAAGGACAATTTTGTGTGTTTTATATATATATATTATATATATATATATATATATATATATATATATATAGAGAGAGAGGGGGCAGTATCCACAACATAAGGAGGCAGTTGGTTACTAACAAGTATACTAGTATTGAGATGCTGGATCTAATATTTATCTTTGTACATTGATCCATTATAAATATGACTAATATGTTATTAGTGTGTCACAATCTTACAGTGCATTATTTAGCTTTGTGTCTTTGGCGACAAAAAAAGTATTCTATCTGTCAAAAAATCGAAATCAGAATTAAGATCAGGTCAACTTTAGTAGGCCTTGAAATATGGTAAAGAAGTGCAGGCAATTTACCATGTCTCGACCAATCACACCCTTTCTTACTCCAATAAAAAAATTTTGATACTGATATTTTTTTTATTTTTTTTAATTTACGCACACAGCATTTTCAACTTTGGACTTGCAAGACTGATTTGTACCCTTTGGAATTACAACCTTGGATTTTTCATTTTTGAATCTGAAACTCGCATTACTAATTTCAGGTTAATTTGAGTAAATATATTAAAAGAATTTTTACAACACAATCAAATACCAATTTTATGTGAATTCAGATATATCCCAATTTTGTCAGTAATCATGTTATAACAAGATCTTCTTTTTGTGTGTCATGTCCACAAACCTCTGATCTTTTGTTACTCTTAGTCATTTTTGGCCCTTTATTCATAATCTTTGTCCCTGTTCTACCTTCCATTAACACAAACTTGTTTAGTTGGTTACATGGTGTTTCCTCCTGTTTCTCTTGCCTTCAGTATGTCTTTTGAGTGTTACTTTCTCCAGGCCTTCTTTTCTTACTTTGCATGTCTCTGAAAATACAAATTTTCTTGTTGTTCCTATTTTCCTTAAGACTTCTTTATTGCTCACATGTTCTGTACATGTTATAATTAGTATCTCTTCTGTGAGGAAACTGTCCAACATTTACTGGCATATAGATTAGGCAATAGATATTATTTATATAGTTGGTCATACTATATATATATATATATATATAAGTACACAAAATAGCAATAATAATTATAATTGTCAAAACAAACAGAAACAACTGTCCACTTAATAATATATGTTTAATTAATAATATAATATAGAAAGCAACTGTATCAAATGATATTAACACAAGAAAAAATTTACATAGCCATTGAAACAACTTTTGATAATCATAAAATGTCAGTGAAAAATAAACAGATACACAAATAATACATTATCAAAATATATATGGAATCAAAATGAAAATAATATACCTACTAAAACTAAATGGGAAATTATAAAAAAACGGTAACCCCAGATAAAAATAACAATAGGAATTGTAAAGTAGGCTTAGAAGAATAATTATCGATAATAACTTTTAATAATCAAATTAATTTATTAAACGAAAAAATGGAATAATGGGTTGATGTCAACATTTTAACAAATATTTACTTTGTAACTTAAATACTAATATAACAAATATAAGATAAACTAATATAATTCTAATTTTTTATATTGGAAGAAAAATTCATAATTGGAAAAATATTACTTATGAACGAACATGTAAGCAATTGCAAAACTCCTGAACATGTACATAACAGAATTGAAAAGATGCAAAAATTAAAATATGAAAACACAGAAATCAGAAATATATTTATTTAATTAATGGACCCTTGAAAAGTGAATGTTCTTATGAAACAGAGACAAAAGAAAAACACCAAGGATTGATACACTCGTGTATAAGCCAACTTCAATGAATAGTGTGACCACTGTATTTTCTGTTATGAATTTTAACCTGTCCAGAAAATAATTTACATGTGTATAGCACAACCGGTCACCAAAAATTAATGATTTTTAACCTCTTCAAAGAAAATTACCTGTATATAGTGCAACACTCTATTTTTTGCATAGAGAAACAAATTATCATAAAAACCTGCATTATACTCAAGAGAGAGTGTGTCTGTGCGTATATATATATATATATATATATATATATATATATATATATATAAAATGTGAGATGACAACTAAATTTGGGTGAATTTGAACAGTGTACAAAAGCTGATTTTCTTGTGACTTGATTTAGCATAAACTCGCATTTTTCAGACATTTTATGAACCTTAACAATTACATTTTAAAGGAATCATATTGTAACCTTTTGTTGCAAGGATATGACTCTTTTGAATTCACCATAATCTTTTGTGACGCAAATAAAAAAGAACACAACCACTTACCATAAAAAATGCTTGTTTCACATGACTTTGCTGAGTTTTCCATAAATTTAACCTTGTGCCAGAGTTAAGATTGTCCAACAAGTATCTTCTTGGAAGTGTGTTTTTACTGTGCAATACAAGGGAGATTACTCTTCACTTAACTGATAATTTATAAAGAAAACTCAAAACATACTTTGTGCTTCAATTAAAATGAGTTACCTTTTATTGTTGTTATTATTATAGTGTATGGGCAAATAAAAGCTCCATTATCCATGAACTATTTGAAATAATACCACCATTTCTTGTTATTTAACAAAACATACTTTAAAACTTAATTAAAGGCTATTGTTTTTTAAATTATAATCATTTGCAAATAATAAGGGAAACTACTCTAATTAACCAAACTCAGCTTTACTTGTATCCCGACTAATCCCTAAACAGCAGACATCTCATGTTAAAATGATTTTTGAATATCTAGGCTTACAATTTAGAAAAATTGTTATTTGCAAAAGATTAATAATTTTTGCATCAGTTCTCAACTCAGTATTTATGCTGATAACACAATTATTTATTCCTGTCTTAATGGCAAGTCTGATCAATACAATAAGATAAATTAGCTGCTGATAACAAAAATGATCTGCAATATGTTGTTAGCTGGGACAAGGAATGGTTAATTTTAATGCCTCAAATGAAATGGCTCTTTTTTGATCATCTGAGAGAACTATTTTGCCTTCCCTCCACATGGCTGATGCTAACCTCCAAGAGAGTGACTCCTTGCAATTTCTCGGGTTAATATTTTTTGCTGATATGAATCAATTGCTAGGCCTGCTGCTAAGAAAGTTCACTGTGTCATGCTAAAAATTTTCTCATCAGAATCTATCTTGCCCAATTATAAATCAACCTGGCATCTCGACTTCTCTCGCTCTCTTACTACCATAAAATAGTTTCCTTGTGCTTTTTCTATAAATATTTTAATGGTAATTGTTCTTATGAGCTTTCCTCCTTGGTACCTAAACTTTATGAATTTAAGTGTACAAGGTCTCCTCATTTTTCATTTGAAATGGCTAAATGTAACTGTAAGTTCTATGCTAACAGTTTCTTCACTCATACTTCTTACTTGTTGAACTCTCTTCAGGCTTTCCAGTCAACTTTGATCTTCAAAAATAATGTCAATCATTATCTTCAGTTTTCTTAATTCCTGTTCTTTTATTGTTCTCTCACTTTGTTTTAATGTTTACTTTTTCTCATATTCTCTCACACTCAGTAACCCCTTGTGTCTTAGTGGTTTTATTCCCTTGCTTGGAGTGAAATGGTTGCAAACAAAAACTTTTTCTTTTTGTTTTTTTAATTATTTTTGTATAAAAACACGTAAAAATGTGATCAGAATTTTTGCAAAATACAGATATGATTATTTTTGTGAAATCTTTTTATTTCTTTTTTTCTTCCTATATTGATGTGATTTTTTTCAGTTTTTGCTACAAACATGCAAATATAGAAAATTGGATCATAATCTGTACTTTTTATTTTAACCACTTTTATTATCTAAAACACCTGATCCAATCTGAAAAATAATGACCTGATCAGAATTTGTTTCTTAAATTATCCATCTATTTTTTCATATAATTTTACAGATACATGAGCAATTAAGGAACATTTGCATTGATAATCATTTTAGTTATGTCATTTCAAAATGAGAACTCACAGACTGACTTTTATTTTCTTTTTTTATTGTCTTTAATCCAGACATTCCTTGGCCAGAAGGAAATGAAGTGTTGTCTGAGAATTCCTGTTCTGCTATTGAAGCCCTCTTAACCATGGACCCACTCAAAAGACCCAGAGCAAAAGGTATATTTAATCTATTTTGTTATAATTACTGGGAGCCTAGGTTGCATGTTAGTCCAGTGAAATGAACTTGTCTATTGCCACGGTCTTTATAAGCCACTGTACTGATAGGTAACATTGTTAGCCTAACTGCTTCCTGAAATGTACATATGTAATTAAAAGCTAGTAATACACATATCCTGCTGAGTGATTTTTCTCTTTGTCTAAAATAATTCCATTGCAAGATACAGAATTATACCAACCATTTTAATATTTGAACAGGATATGCAGGTGGTATAATAGTTAACAATGTGGAAAATAGAATTGGCATATGAGGTTCAAATTGCAACTGAGGCTGTTACATTCTCTTGGGAAAGACCTGAATTCCCCATAGTAAAATAGTAAGGCAGACTGGGCTCTTTACACTTAGCAGATCAGTCATAATGAATGACAAATCTGAATTCAAAACTATGAAGAAGACAGCAGGAAGCCACTCTACTACCTTTTCTAAGAAAAGTCATAGCAATTCAGTTATTAAAGAAAAGGTAACTAGGAAAGGTCATGATCATCTACATCCTGAAAGGAAATGGCTCTAAAAAGTATTTGGACATATTTTTTTTGGTTAACAGCTCCTCACAGTGGCCTTACTTATAATGGGAATCCCAACAGCCAATAGGGTTGATCTGCATATACAAATATTTAGTTAGAACAATTTCTTATGGGCAGCCATTCATTTTGATTCATAGAATCTAAAAGGCCCATAATAAAATTACCATAAATTCAGCTAAAAGTCACTGCTAAATTAGCACTACTTCAACCCATGCTTAATACAGGCAGGTTTTTTAAAATGTTCATTATTTATTTTATTCATAAATGCTCCTACCTGTCTTGATTTGAAATCCTCACATAATTCTTCAGCTTTCTCCTCTTGTCATTGTCATCCATGTTACCTTACCATCCTGGGTGTGACGATAAACTAAATCTGCATCTTGGGTAAGACGATAAACTACATCCAGCAGCAAGACCTCTGATCAGGTGGTTTTGAGGAATGTGGAACCACCTCTTAATTGCTGGTGTTCCCAGGTCCCACTCTGACCTGGGGTAGTAGCACCTGTCATGGTCCCAGCTATGGGCAAATAGTTAACCCCAAAACTGGGGTAAAAACACTATGAAAGTGCAAAAATAGGTTTTAATACCAAAAATACTTTGTAAAAAAATTATTGCCAGCAATAAATTTTTGAAGGAAAAAAAATATTACCAACAATGTTTTTGAAGAAAAAATATTACTAACTGTGCATTTTTGGGGAAAAAATATTACCAGAAATAGATTTTTGACAAAACAAAATATTACCAGCAATAAAAAATTTTTCAGCATTAAATAACCCATTGAGGTTGATATGCCGTAAAACAAACCAAACCAAATCCATGTTACCTTAGCTTTGAAAACAGCTTTGTTCACTATAAAAGAAACCAGATCTATTCTTATCAAATTGAATGTCATTTCATTTTCAAGAAAATTTGTATAAAAAATTATCTTTGGCAACCTAATTGCTTTTTCATTGAATTGTAGATGTGATGAAAATGAAGGTATTTGCAAATATTCACTGGGATCAACTTTTGGATGAACCTGCTCCCTTCCAACCTCAGCCAAGCAATGACACAGATACAAGTTATTTTGAAGGTGACATGATTTATTCTCTTTCTCAAAGAATCTTTCATCTGTATTTGTTTTTTTCTAAATACAATAGAATATAACTGTCAGCAGACCCTTCAACTGCAAAGGCCATAAACATTTCACTGAACTGCTATTGGTTAATCAACAAAAACTTTGCATTCAAAAATTTTTATTAAACTGAAAATACTTAAAGTATATTTTAAAGGAGAATAAAATATAAACAAAAAAAAATGCCTTGATGTAAGTCTTTAATAATAATAGTATTTTGAAAATATTTAAATTTATAATTTTTTTTTATATCACCAAAGCTATCAAAATCTGTGTCATCAGTTTCTGAGAGAAATAAAGTCAAATTATAGAAAAAAAAAATTCACTACTGAAATGTTTGTCTAATTTATTTCATTTTTACAGTAGAATATAATTCTTAGTGGGAGGGGAGTTTTGTCCCCTCAGTTATCCAATGGGATTCATGGTGTATAGTAAAATACTGCTGATTACTTTAATCATTGACTTTAGAATATTGATTTTTTTTTTTTTTTTTATGTTGCAAAATAAAATCCTTACATTTATCTTAATAAATTCCCTCGTGACAAACTTGTTAGTAAAGAAAAGTTTTCCTTTTTATCTTTATTCATATTCTCTTTTTATAGATATATTTTATTTATATCTGAAGTTTTACATATACCTTGTATATGGTTCACTATTATCAAAAATAACAACAATATTTTTTTTTTTTTTAAGAAATGTATTCACTTAATTTGTTTCTTGTTTTGTTTTTCTTTTCAGTGAGAAACAACTTGCAGCATTTGGTTGTCTCTTCTGTCGATCTGTGACTGTCTCAAATGATACTCAATCAACTTAGGACCAACAGGACCAAAAGTAGATAGCAAATTGTAATCAGAATTTAAGTCTTTCTTTTTATCCTACACTGGATATTGCAGTCCTTAAATTATTGACTTTTCCCCCCTTGCATTCCCCTCTACACCATGATACAGGCATGCCCACAGACACACAAATATATCTATATCAGATTATGTTTTCAAATTCTATCATATAAAAACATTTTTTATTGTTTTTGTAAATAACTTCCATTTTTTTCCTTTTTTTTTTTTAATATTAAAATACAAATAAAATAACAGACCAAAATTTAAAATTAACCAGCTTACAAACTCAGTATCAACACTTGCTCTTCTCTAGTCACATCCAAACAGCACATTGGTAAGATTGAAACTACTTTTTGGTTTTGTAGTTTTAAACTTGATTTTCATCATTAACTTAGATTTTGGCCTGTAGTATTCTATTATTATCATTATAACCTTAATAGACTGAAAAGGATGATTTGAAATGATTTAAAAAACAAAACAAAAAACATCTAAAAACTGATCATATTGTTTTTTTTTGTTTTTTGTTTTGTTTTTTAATCATAGACATCTTTATTATCAGTCAATAAACATTTGTAGATCTCACTGCTTGTCAGTGTTACTAAATCAAACTGGAATATACATCAAGATATTAAAAATATTTATTAGTTTCTGTTTTTGTGTTTCCTTTTTTGTTGTTGTTGTTGTCTTGTGGTGGTTGGTCTAATTTTTCTGCCTTTTCATGTGCTCATCAAAATTTATTATTTCATTATAGCCTTTGCATAACTCTGGCTAATCAGGTGCGTCTCAGTGCTTGTATTAGATGTGCTTCTACTGTTCACAGATATTTTGTCCATTGGTATTTTTTTGACAGAAAATGTAACAGAAATCTGAAGGTACATTACAATAGCAAAAGGTGTCTTCCAAAATTTAACAATGTATTAAGAAAAAGGAACATTTTGTTAGAAACAACAAAAAAAAAGTGCTGAACTTCTATGTGATATCAATTCTTGTAGATGCTACTGAATGCTGGACAGTTTCCTCACAGATGATGAGAAGACTTGATGTTGCAAAGATGTGGTTCTACAAAAGGATATATGGACAAAATATGTAACAAATAAATTTTAGGGAAATGGAGACAAAATGTACCTAGAATCAGACAATTGATATTTCTGTGACACAATGAGGAAAGAAGGATTGAAAAATTTGGCACACACAAGATATTGAATACAAGAGAGATAGAAGGAAACAAAAAGTAACCTACCTAACAGGCTTGTATAAATAGACAACAGAGGAAGGGATAGATAGTAAGGGGACAAACATTACCTTCAGCTACAGGAAGTTGTGATGAGCCATTATCAACCATGTTGTGAACAGATACAGCACATAAAATAAACAGTACCTGTACTATACTAAAATCATTAAAAAGATCTGCAAGGTGTCTTGTCCTGAAGGTTTCAAATGAGAGATTATGTATTTGTATTTATTTCAGAACTTTAAAAAATACAAAGAAGGCCAGGAAATACACTAGTCAAAATTTGATCAGAACAACAAAGATGAGGATACTTGTCCAAATAATTAATGCAATAAAAACAATATTTAATCTTAGAACTTCTGACAATACAAAGAAAATCTAAGGCTATAGCAAACAAAATGTAATCATCAAAACAGTAAAGATGGGGATAGACGTCCTAATAATGCATTAAATGCTGACAATTTTTCATGTCAGATCCTGTCAATACAAGAAAGAATGCAATAACTAAAATGGAAAGATCACAACATCAAAGATACTGATACTCATTCAAATTAAACTGAAACGGAGTGTCAAACCAAAAGTAGATGAAAAACGTTAAAACAAGTTTTCCACTTTTTTACTTGTCAACTTATAGTTCACGTTCATAAAAGCAAGGGAAATCACTCGAAATAGTTCGATACAGTTTACTTGAGTAACCTCCCTTGAACTTTTAAAAAATTCGGTCAATTTTTTTATATTATTTTATCGTATTTACTTTACTTTTGCTTGTTTACAAAATTTGCTTCTTGTACCATTTTAAGCAAATCAGCTGAATTAATGTGTGAGACGAGATGATTATTTATTAAGGTGTTTGGAAAATTAATGACAAAGTGGGAAAAATTTTTGCATTTGCATGATGCGTTTCAACTTTTAGAACTTCATAGAATTAAAGCAATATTTCCATTGATGCAAATACACATGAGGACACTGAAATTAAAAATTAAGATGTGTTTGGTTATATAGTCTAGCCAATTGTGTTTAGTTTCTTTTTCCTTTATTCACTTTTGTTATTAAACTCCACATTGAGATAAAGATCTTGTCAAGAAAGGTGAACTATAAATCTGGACACACTAGCAATTAATGTACTTTTTGTACCCTTTCATCTTAATAAATTGCTTTCTCTTTTCATTAAAGTAGATTTTTAAATAAAAATTATGTTCAGACTCATTACAGTGAGCAGCTAACACGTTGAGTGTGTTAAGTTATATGACTAAGATGTTGCGTGAAACTTACAAATTGAGTAAAAGTGATAAAAGTAAAACGTGCTCAATGTTCTTGAAATGATCACATTGTCAATTTCTCATTCTTTTTACTTTTTGTATCTTCAGGCTGCATTCAATAGCTATCATCAGGAAACTTATGGAGGGTAACAAAGATGAAATCAATTAAATAAATCTGTGTGTGTGTATATATATATATATATATATATATATATATAAACCAGTTTGATGAACGCAAAAGTATGAAACCCAGAGTTACAAACTCATATCCATACAACTGAATATGTTAGTTCTATCACAGAGATCAAGCACTTTGCACTAAGTACTGTGTACACACACACACACACACATATATATAAAGAACATATAAACATAAAAAAAATGTCATATATATATATATATATATATATAAAGAACGTATAAACAAAATATGTCATATATATATATATAAGTACGTATAAACATAAAAAATGTCCATTATTTACATTATTCGGACTATTGTCCTCATCTTCATCGCCATATTTATCACAACGTTTCAGCCATTGTATGCTCCAGTAATAAGGAGTGCCAGAGAAAAGCAATGATAACAACATAGTTGCAATATGAGCTCTGGTAAAAACATGCAATGATAACAGCAAAATTGCAATATGAGCAGTGGTAAAAATGGTTGCTGAAGACATTAGGTTTGTAATACCCAGAAATTTATACCCAGATATCCTCAAGAACACATGGCACAGTGGATAAAAGCGTTGGTTAGATCCAGTGACAGGTTAAGAGAAGAAGTGGAGAACTTTCAGAGGGAAAATTAGCAGGAGATAACTGATAACTGACATCCATCAAACATGGAACTAGAACAGTCTACCCCAGTGAGCGAAATAAAGGGTTCAGTTCGAAATTCCAACCACCTGAAGAAGGCTGGAGCGTACAACGGCCGAAACGTTGTGATAAATATGACGACGAAGATGAGGACAATAGTCTGAATAATGTAAATAATACCTCATCTCAGAAATATAGACAGACTATAAAAAATGTCATATATATAAAGAACGTATAAACAAAAAATGTCATATATATATATATATATATATATATATAACGTTTTACTGTAATATCCTAAAATAAATAATATTGCTCTATGTATTGAGCCTTCTTTTAAATTAAATGTTACAAACGTTGGAAGTGTACTCTATTTGTTCTCATCATACATGGATATATATATATATGTGTGCGCGATATTTCTTTACGAGTATAAACGACAGGGCTCAAACTCACATCCACCACCATATAGCCTAACATGTTTTTTAGACTGCTCATCTACGAAGACTTTTATGACAAAGCAAGGTTCATTTACCCTTAGGAAGGAAAGCACATCTCTTGTTAAGACCTATTTCATATCTGAAAACAGAAATTTCTATGGACTTAATGGATTTATAAAAATTTAGAATCCAACATTATTTCTTTATTACTCTAAATATATTGAATGGATACACGTGCTTGAGTAGACATCTCTGTTTTTTAAATAGTGTAATTGATGTCTTTCGGATAGATGGAGATTGACATCCCAGGAAGAAAGTCGATCTAAGGAAAGGAAAACTCAGATTTTTAACCTCTGTTGGGTACATTATATTCACTTTGGCACAAATATCTTTGGAAAAGGTATGAATCCACGTCTTCTCCTCCCCCCAGTTAGGGTTTAATTAGTAAGATTTACATCACTAAATTATTATTTCTGAAAAAAATTCTCACAATTTAAAAATATTGTCTGGCTTTAAATAACCTGCAAAGGGTTGATAAGCTATATGCAATCATGGAAAAGGATATGGAAGTTAATCCAGACAGAAAACCCGGAATGGAGCCTTGAAGGTGGTTGACTTTCAACACTTAACAACTTTCTGGTAACTCCTGCAGCCAAGCCGGTCCTAAATGTAATGTACTGTATTTCTTTAGATCTTGTTAGTATGACCAAGAGGGGATATAGCATTAACCAGGTCTGAACCTTGGAAAGGATACTTCAAAGGATTGAATTTTTACCAAACAAGATACCACTTTTATCTCATAAGATAAATGGATGCCTACTAATTGATTACAGGCTTAGGTTTTCTAGAGTCTTTAATAAAAAGAGTGTGCTCTTCAACAAGGTTCAAACCTGCATCATAAACCCTTTGAACTCTGACACTACCACCTTACGAGTGGTAGAGAAAAATGATGTAATTCTCAGCCACTGGTTCAACAGTGATAAAAGAAAAGTGATTTAATGCCTGCCCACCAGTAAACACTTGTAACTATTTTTTTTATATATCAATCATGAAATATTACATACCAATTATTTGTGAATTTTGACTCAGAAGCTCAGGCAGAAGGGTTAAAATTGTTCAGGAACGCAGGGCTCAAAGGGTTAAATTTTGTGAGAAATAATCTAATCATAAACGATTTATGCTCCCTTTACCTTTGTTTTTTTA